GTGGATTTGGGGGGGTTTGGGGGGATTTTGGGGGATTTGGGTGGATTTGGGGGCGGTTGGGGGTCCCAGGGGGGGTTTGGGGGGTCCTGGGGGGATTTGGGGGGAGTCTTGGGGGGTCTGTGGGGGGCTGGGAGTTTTGGGGGGATTCGGGGTTTTTTTGGGTCGATTTTGAGGGGTTTTTAGGCTGATTTTTGGGATTTTTTTGGCCAATTTTGGGATTTTTTTGGCCAATGTTGGGATTTTTTTTCTGGTCGATTTTGGGGGTTTTTTGGGCCAATTTCACCTTCCCAAGCCACCCCTCAGCAAAAACCCCAAAAACTACCCCAAAATGGCCCAAAATGACCCAAAATGCCCCAAAATGGCCCAAAATGACCCAAAATGACCCAAATTGGCCCAAAATGCCCCAAAATGGCCCAAAAATGCCCCAAAACGGCCCAAAATGGCCCAAAAAGCCCCAAAATGCCCCAAAATGGCCCAAAATACTCAAAATGCCCCAAAATAACCCAAATGGCCCAAAATGCCTCAAAATGACCCAAAACAGCCCCAAATGGCCCAAAATGCCTCAAAAAGCCCCAAAATGCCCCAAAATGCCCCAAAACGGCCCAAAATGCCCCAAAATGGCCCAAAATGCCCCAAAATGGCCCAAAATGCCTCAAAATGACCCAAAACACCCCAAAAAGTCCCAAAACGGCCCAAAATGCCCCAAAATGACCCAAAATGACCCAAAAAGCTTCAAAATGGCCCAAAAATCCCAAAATGGCCCCAAATGACCCAAAACGGCCCAAAATGGCTCAAAATGCCTCAAAATGCCCCAAAACGGCCCCAAAACGGCCCAAAATGCCCCAAAATGGCCCAAAATGACCCAAAAAGCCCCAAAAAGCCCCAAAATGGCCCAAAAAGCCCCAAATTGGCCCAAAATGCCCCAAAACAGCCCCAAAAGCCCCAAAACGGCCCAAAATGCCCCAAAATGACCCAAAACGCTTCAAAATTGCCCAAAAAGCCCCAAAATAGCCCAAAATGCCTCAAAATGACCCAAAATGTCCCAAAACGGCCCAAAATGGCCCAAAATGACCCAAAACAGCCCAAAATGACCCAAAATGGCCCAAAATTCCCCAAAATGACCCAAAATGACCCAAAATGACCGAAAACGACCCAAAACGACCCAAAATGACCCAAAATGCCCCAAAACGGCCCAAAACGGCCCAAAATGCCCCAAAATGGCCCAAAATGCCCCAAAATGCCCCAAAATGGCCCAAAATGACCCAAAATGGCCCAAAATGCCCCAAAATGACCCAAAACGGCCCAAAATGACCCAAAATGGCCCAAAATGCCCCAAAATGACCCAAAATGGCCCAAAATGACCCAAAATGACCCAAAACAGCCCAAAACGACCCCAAACGGCCCAAAACGACCCAAAATGCCCCAAAATGCCCCAAAACGGCCCAAAATGCCCCAAAACGGTCCAAAATGACCCAAAACGGCCCAAAACGGCCCAAAATGACCCAAAACGGCCCAAAATGGCCCAAAATGCCCCAAAACGACCCCAAACGGCCCAAAATGGCCCAAAATGACCCAAAACAGCCCAAAATGACCCAAAATGGCCCAAAATTCCCCAAAATGACCCAAAATGCCCCAAAACGACCCCAAACGGCCCAAAATGTCCCAAAACGGCCCAAAATGACCCAAAACGACCCAAAACGACCCAAAACGACCCAAATTTTGCCCCCCAGGTGCTTCGAGGGCGACTTCTCGGGGCCCCGGCACTTCCCCAACTGCTCGGTGGCCCTGGGCCACCAGGACAGCTCCGGACACCCCAGTGACCACCGGAGTGACCACCGGAGTGACCACCGGAGTGACCACCTGAGTGACCACCTGAGTGACCACCTGAAGAACCTCAGTGACCACCTGAGTGACCACCTGAAGAACCTCAGTGACCACCAGGAGAATCAGAGTGACCACCGGAGTGACCACCGGAGTGACCACCGGAGTGACCACCGGACTGACCACCTGAAGAACCTCAGTGACCACCTGAAGAACCTCAGTGACCACCGAAGTGACCACCAGAAGAATCAGAGTGACCACCAGAGTGACCACCAAAAGGACCAGGGTGACCACCAAAAGGACCAG